GGTGCAGTCCTGTTGCCACGCATGCAGCTAGAGCACTTGCTTGTAGCACAAAACACAGTACGAATAGACACATTAAAGAAATAGAATTAGCGCAGGCAAGACGTGCACACCAAATCTGGACGAACCTCGCAATAAACCAAAGGATTGAACTGATGTTGTTGGAGTTTCTGCCAGGAAGGAACGGTGAGAGCGGGGTGGGGCGAGGGAGGAGGATTTAGAATGGGTCGGGTGAAACAGACTCACCATAATATGAAAAAAATCAGTATTTGTGCAATCAGAAAGCAACTATGCTGGTCACCGGGAAGACCGTTCAAGTTAGCAAAATTTGTGATGTATATGAAGTGTGCATCAGTCTGTGTATGTGCTAGTTCAGTTGTCGTATAATTTCCGGTGGTATATTAGCGAAACAGAGCAAACCAGTCGGTACCATAAGCTTCACTATCTTCGACCGCAATGCGCATAGTGTGATTATGTCCAGACTAGAGGAAAGGCTTGCATGGTAAAAATAAATATACACAAAAGCACAGTAGCCTTGCTGATCGGAAATTTTAAGATCTTTCAAGTACTGATTGAAAATCGATCCTTGGAAAGCGGGGAACAATCGGGTCGGCTCACATATCTGATTGGTCAATCAAGGATACTAACCGTCTGTAACCGTTGATTTGGTGGGGTACAGGGCGGAAAACTCACGTAGTGCCAGAGTAACGTCCGTATGTCTTGCATCTACATGAAGCTTTTCAATATGATAGAAAATGTTTTCAATGATACATGAAGTAAATTGTCTTTTCGCCCACTCTGGTTGAATACAACAAAAATTTAAGTATCTGATTGTTAATATTTGGTCTTCCTATGTCGTGCTTCAAACTAGCGCCCTCAATGTGTATTATCCACTTGTCTCCTAGGTTATGTTGCAACGAGGGATCAAGATATCAATGGACGGACAGTTGCAAATCCGAAAAATTTGTTGGATCCATAAAATTTCGGGAGCGCTCATCAATTGCAAGCAGGAAAACCGATCCCCTCGTTCCTCCATTACGGAACACTTGCTGGAC